GGATCTGGAGACCGTGGGTGAGGCCACGGAGGTTGTGTAAGGCCGTGGCACTCTGAGTGAACCCGGCTGGACACGTGACCGGATCAAGGTGGGGGCCGGGGGCCCCGGGGGTACCTTAGGGGGCCACGTGGACAGCCGAGGAGCTTCGAGAGGGTTCTGGAAGAAAGGCGTGACCAGGGTGGGGCCCGGACACGCGAAGGCACATATAAGCAGCCTCCTCACCGGGCTCGAGGCTGCCCGTGTCAAGAATGAAGATACATTGTGAAGACGCCTCCTAAGAAGAGTCAAGTCTCTAGTCAGCGGACCCGCCAGTAGCCCACTTGGCTGGGTCACGCTAGTGTATCCGAGATTCCGTGTTAGCGAGTGACGGTGTGTGTTAGTTAGAACAGGTCCGTGTATACCACCCTATGTTAAGTGTAACGTGTTGGTGTTAATAAATTGTGTTGCCTCCCAAGAAGTCGTGTGCGCCTATCTGAGCCCATTACACAAGGTTACGATTCAGGAGCCCCGTCAGCCACCTACTGACTGGGATCGATACTGACCGCCCGTATACATACACCTGCTGTTGAAACCTCGAGCAAATGGGACCTTAGAAACTCAAATTACACTATTGCTGCAGAAATAAATAACTGGGAGGTTCCCATATGTATTGTGCCACTAACAAATGAAATATATACATATTTCAACACAAGCAGTCGTCATCCTGTCACTGATGATGACCGCTTGTGTTGCGATTGAAACAACGTGATATTTCTTGTAAACTTTATTTTCATTTGTAATTTTATTGTTATTATTTTTTTCTATTTGTAAAATTAGGGATTTCGGCTATGTTACTATTTTTGTTTTATGGTTTATTTACCAGGTAAGGCCAACTGAGCTATGTAGCTCTTTGTTTAGAAGCGACCTGGCCACAAATGATAGCTCAACGAAGTGGCTTATCACCTGGAAATGTATAGCAGCCAAATACTCGAAACGTGTGTTGATTCTAAATATGGAGGGCAAAACCTGGAGGACCTGGAGTAAACTCCACGCCATACAAGGGCATGTTTTGAGGGGAAGTATCACATAATCGTTGTTTGAGGTCTCCTTCTCAGCGAGTGACCTCTTCCAAAGTCCTGTAGGATTGCCGGACGGCAGCAGATATTTGAATCATTGACCCCGAGCGAACTAACTCTGTGATGGGCACACGAGCCGCTACATTACCCATCCATCAAACACATCCTCCTGATGGATCTTTACACGTGTTTAGAAGTTCGCTATATGACCCAGGATGTTATGAAACTGTATCTGTGTGAAACGAGACATTAGACTCTCTGCCATTTTTGTCGTAACACAAGTAAACGTTGAGGTTGGAAAGTTCCTGAGGTGAGCAGTGTTCTTCACTAATTTTCAGAGGTGGTGGTGGTGGGGGGGGGGGGGCACTTTCACCGACACATCACCAGTGTGAGGGCCACAACACCGCCTGCACGGGGTTGTTTTCGCATTTCGTGTATTATCGGGGGCCGCCAGTGGCCAGCAGACTTTGCAACGACGAACACTTAATTAAAGCTCACGCGTGAACGATGGATGTTTTCACGATGAAAATCCTGTAGGGCTGCCGACACGTAGATCCTCGATTACCGTGCACTCGACGTGCGCGCGATGCCGACGGAGCGAGCCGCGCGCCTTCAAGAACGAAACCCATGGCCAGGGATGCGTCCATTCCTGACGCAATGCCGTCAAGGGTTTTAGGATTACAAAGTGTTTCATGACGATGATCTAAATACCCCCAAAAGCAGATTTTTAAGGTTGGTCATTAATAATCAAAGACGGTTTCGAGCAGTGGTTTCTCAACCTCTTGTGGCGACTGAACCCCTTGGTTGAATTTTGGTTCTTAGAAATAAATGTATAAGGAACGTTAATATTGTAACCAATTGACATTTTTGTGAGGTATATGCTAACCAGCCGGTAACTGCAAACGACAAAAAAATTGTTCGCAGATTGTTTCGGATCAATGAGTTCAGAAAGGTCTTCGATATCATTCTAGGTTACCATATGGATTTTCATTTTATCGTAGTTATTTTATATTGGCATATTCATACATGATTATTCACCAATGACTCTCGTGTACGATGTAATGTCACACGTTTGTAAATCACCTCGCGTACCCCCATGGATCCGCACAACCCCGGTTGGCAACCCACTTGGTTATTAGCTATCGTCAAATTGCGGCTGAAGTTTAAATTAGTTGTCGTAAAATGTGGACTAGAATACACGAATAAAGAAAGCCTTAATGATAGATAAGTGTGCAGACCAACGAGCGCATGGCCATATGGTCACGAGTTAAACTAAATACACTATTTGTATTTTACCAGGTAAGGCCCACTGAGCTATAGAGTTATTTTTCAGAAGCGACCTCGTCACAAATGAAGCGGCTTATCACGTGGAAATGTATTGCAGCCAAATACTTTAAACGCATGTTGATTCTAAATGAGGGGAAAACTAGAGGATCCAGAGAAAAATCCACGATCTCCTGCATACCTGGCGAGGTAGTTAACATCTCACCACCATGGCAACCTTTTAAAATAATTTCAGCACTTGTTGGACGTGCAAGGGCGGTTACCCCCAGGGGAGAGAGGGCATGCCCCCCAATGGATTTCATTTAATAGGATCTTGGTCGACGCACTGCTGGATGAATGCCTCCTTCACACGCCGTATGGGTTACATGGGGGTTGTTGGGCCATACTTCACCATGCTGGGTCAGTGCGGATTAGTAAAAAAAAAAACAATGTGATTTGTAACGCCGATCTTTACCTGTGCAGTATCCATAGTTCAATATTAATGTCATTTTATTGAGGGACTACTGTGTTATCTTGGTGTGGTCTGGGACTTTAAGTTTTTGCTGCCTTGCCAAGAACTTATAAAATGCATTTTTGTTTATATTTCATGACTAACCATTTCTCTATTTTGTACTCCTATCGTTTGTTTGTATTGTTTGATGTTGCAACTTGCTGACCCGCCCATACTGGAGACCTGTGATAAAGAACGTTACAGCTCATCGGATTCCTCCTCCAGTCTAAATATTCTGATATAGGACCGGGTGATAGGACTTGACAATGTTGTTCACGTGATAGTCCAGAGAGGGGTCTAGGGCAGACATGAGCAAAGTACGGCCCGCTGGGCTTTTTAATCCGGCCCGCCGAACTTCTCCAAATATTATTATAATTATTAAATTAAATTTTACCTTTCTCCTGTAATGCCCCATTTCCCCATTAGATGGCGCACTTTTACCGGGAGTTACGACGTTTTTGTATTGTTCATGTTCGTGCAATTTGTTTAATTGCCTTGCAAATAAATGCTTTGCTACCTGTTAAAAGGCCAAATCCTTTCATGTAATGATTTTTACATGTCATTTATATTAGTTCACACACTCCATCCGTTCCTGGCCCGGCCCCTCTGTCAAATTTTAGAACCCATTGTGGCCCGCGAGTCAAAAAATTTGCCCACCCCTGGTCTAGGGGAAAGGTCACGGAAGGGGCACATCGAGATCCCGCGAGTAGGTTCCAGAAGGGGGCGTGGCCGGGGGCGTGGCCGGGGGCGGAGCCAGGCCACGCTGACAGTAAAAGAGGGGGCCCGGGAGGGAACCTCGATGCTGTCGTGTGGAGTGGGATCCCCGTCGTGCTGCTGGAGACTTCACCGTCGCCAGTCAGGCAGTCTACCAGCTGTCCTGACTGGGAATCGTAGCTACCAAGTGTTAACTGTTAGGCCGTGTTAATAAACAGTGCCTCCTACTCTTTAGTGTCTCTGAGTCAGTCACTACACAGGTATGATACGTTTTCACCAGTGGACCAACTTCTCCCATCAGACAGAGGCACTGCCCACTACTCATTATTAGCACAGACACCAACTGCTAATTGCAAAGGAGTGGATATGGATTGACAATTAGAGCCAAACAAAATACTTTTTTAGGTGACGTGTCCTTTGTGCAGAGCAGCTCAAGGATTTGGTGGAAAAAAGCATGTTGAAAAGTAAAAAAAAAATTGCAATATTTACTATTTTAATTATTTATCCAGGAAAATCGTAGGACTTTTTCAGGTTCCTGCAATAGGTTTTAATTTTAAGATGTTTTCAGCCAAGTGTTTTTATACGCGTGGGAGGAAACCGGAGAAAACCCACTTGCGCAAGATGGCAGCACTAGCCCCATATAGATGGAAACAAATGGTGATTAGTCCACTTGCTGCACTGCCTTCTCCTGGAGAGCCAGGGTATGTGGTACCTCGATGCCCACGGGAATGAAGTTTCACGTGTGTGATCCACAAACCCTCACAGTGCGGAATTACAGGCATGAATAGCCACCACCGCAGATGTGTTTTAGTATTGTACCGCATCTATGTATGTTACATGTTGAACTTCTTTTGCAAAGTATGTAGCCAATCGTGCAAACCGTACGTGGCCAACTATAATAAACGTCATTCCCCCACTGTTGGGAGCTTCTTCAGGAATAACCCAAAACACCAGTTGCGGTGGTTCGGGCCACCTTGTAAGGACGGCCCCCAATAGACTCCCGCTGGAACTCTACCGGGAATGTCCCAATGGGCGGAGATCCCGGAGCTAGCACAGGACACGCTGGCAGGACGATGTCGCTCGGCTGGCCTGGGAACACCTGGAAATTCCCCCGAAAGAGCTGGAGTCTGTCGCCAGGGAAAGGGAGGTCTGGACCGCCCTACTCAGCACGCTGCCGCCGCGACCCTCACCAGGACAAGCAGACTGAGAAACGAACACCTGAGACCTACACAGCCCAACCTACGCAGTGAAAATGAATGGGGAAGGTGTTCACGTTCACCGTATACTCGTTTTTGGGGATAATGGGCATTCGAGATAAAACTATGCAAATAGATGTGGCATAACCCTTGGAAGAGACATGCAAGCAAGTTCAAAAGGAGCAAAAACGAGTCTCATGAAAGCTCAACAGTTATTCTCAAAAGGTTCCCCCCACAGAAGGGACACAAATGAAGCCACCGTAGGTCGCACAAACCCTTTTCTTTACTCAACGCAATCCATAAATATCACGTGAAAAACATTAGGTTTTAACAAGCACTTGGCATATTCTTTAAAAAAAAAATAAGTTTCTGAACAAAATGTGAAAAAAGGATAGAACAAAACATTTGGTGATACGCTTATAACAATGCTTCTGAAAAATAGATTAGCCAATTGTCGCAAACTACCATATTTTATATCTAGAGCTCCATAACATTGTTCTCGTCGTCTGTTTTTCAACAGAGTAAATGTTAATTTAAATAACTATACCGTCACACACTTAAAAAATGCTTACATTATTTAGTAATGTGCAGCATGTTTAGACTGATTTTTATCATCAGAAAAAATGACCGTCGGAAATGTTCAATACATTTAACTCAAGACATGTTGAACCGATACACTTCACACGGTGCATCAATGTGCCAACAAAAGTATATTTATGGGGGGGGGGAAAGTGTTTGGAAAATAGCGATGTAATGTGACACACGTGAAGAGAAAAGCGTCTGAGAAATGGCATCCACCAAGGAGATAAAGCAGTGAAATCAATTCGGGTAAAGGTGTTAGGTGGATTATTACATCACAGGTTGATAAGAGGTGGTGGTGGCTTGGTGAGGTCTTCATCCAGCAGTACATTGACCGTGGCTATGAAGAAGAGAGTGATTTTCTCATCAGGCTTATTTATAGTTGTGCCGACTAGACAGCCACCCTTCAGTCGACAAATTCTGGCACGTTATTGCTTAGTTGCCATCTGTGTGTCACAGTCAATGCAAAAGATGTGTAATGTGGCTACATTTTACTTCAAAATTGTAAATAATTAATCTAAGTTTCGATCGTAAATTCATTGGGGTTACATGTATTTACTTGGTTCGTTAAATAGTTAGAAACAGTCAGATCAATAACAATGGAAATCATACACAACCATCAGTTGCTAGTTCATTATAACTAATTTTAATGTTTTCTCAACAAAACTTCAGTGACACATTCAAAAACGTACAGAGCATATTGGATGCTGCCCTGGTGTAACGGTTTGCTCACTGGACTTGCAACCCAGAGGTCGCCAGCTCGATCTCCCATCCAAGCACTATCCAGGCTTAATTCCACTTAACTTCCGAGGTCTGACGCATTCCGGGCGAGTTGGTCATACAAGGGAGTCCAGCAATTGTAATCACAACGATGCACACTTCCTAAAGCGTGACCCTTGACAAACTAGTCTCATCAATATTCCAATGAAAAGTGTCACTCAATAGATATGAACGTTGCAAGCCCCATTCAAAACTTTAAAACGGACTCAAGAGCAACACTTCTAAAACATTGGACAGAAGCCACTTTCTCAAAACGTACAGAAACCATCATGGGTCATCTGGGTAGGTGGCACTGTGGCAAGAGCGCAACTCAATTGGAAGGTCACGGAGGTCATATTACAGTCAACAATCAGCCCATCATTTATCTGGGGGCTGATAAAAATGAGTATCACTTTGCGGGAAGTCAACAGTGGTTAATCCTTGGGAGACTCGATTTCCACCACCAACTCTAAATAGCTCAAACATCATGAAAGGGACTCTCTCCTCAAGACACTTTGCATTGCATTGGTTTCACGTGTGCCGTATTAGGAGCAAAGGGGGCACAAGACATTGGCTTTCGCAGGCTGAGTGCAGATTGCGCTGAGAGCAGGAATGGGTTAATACAATTAATTAATCATTGAGCCTATGCTTCTCATGAAAAAGTATCCCGTCATATTGGCCCAACGTTCAGTTTTTTTTTAAACGTCAGTGCAGCATTTAAGTACTGTAAGGGACAAAACAAAAACTAGACGTTAAATTAAAAACAAAACCATTTGAATAAATCATTTCCCACACCAAATTCTGAAGCAGTCGCCATAATTTTGGTTTCTATTGCAGAACAAATAATTGGACCCGTTAGCATTTATTCCCTTTGCAATGCTAACGACTAAGTACTACATATACCTACTATAGGTCAGAGGGAAAATAATCATGTATAAATATTTATAACCTCTACAATATTCCAACAAAGACAACAAAAATAGTCAGACTGGGAAGTCATGACAAGCAGTATAATCCACAGGCGAAATCTGGCCAACATTATTATATGCAAAAAATATGTATGTAAATGGACACACACACATATGCATACATGATCCACATACATATATACACAATGTATATGTATGCTATCCTAGTATGGACTAACGTCTGCATACAACTGGATCAAATATTCTATGTGTATATTTTTAAATAATTAAAAAAGTGATTCATGTTTCTATTAAGCTAATAGGCATATAACGAATAATATTAACAGTACATACACATGACATGCCAGTTAATGTTGCAGCCAGTAAGTCGCACACTATCGGACAGTAATGTACAACAGATAATGCCAGATGAAGCCGGGTGACACAAACCAAGCCAGTGGTCAATGATTATAGGGGAGGCAATGTGCGCACCTCAGATATAAAGGCCGATGGGCAATGCGGGCTGTAGTACACTTGGTCCTAGACAGGTCTCTGATGTGTATTGTGAATAAAGTAAATTCGCATTCATTAACAATTGGCAGAGCTACGGTCTCTGACAGCATCATAGAGGGAGTTCTAATGGGTGGGGGAATTTACCCATGGTAAGCAATTTGCCATTGGTGAAATTTATTGATGACAACTGAAATGCGCGCTGTGTCAGGATTACGAGTTAGGTGAATGCATAAAATTGTTTAATGTCCTGCATTTCTTCTCACTGCACAGTGGAAAGTTCATAGGGTCACCAAGTATAGCTGACCTATCCAGAATTTACAGCTGTGTTGGTTAAACGCAGTAGGGAATCACCCTCAAATGTCTCGGTCGGGGATTGGAGCATTGCATAAAATGCCAACGTATTTCTCATGATTCTGGGAGGAGGTGACATGAGTAGCTTTCTAAAATATATACTGAGAAATATTTCCAAAGCGCTTTGCATATTAAATGCTATTAACAGTTAATTGACGAAAATGCGGTGTTCCTGGTTGGCTAACGCAACGCAGCTGTATGCACCGACGTGGGGAACTGTGCAGGGTTCTTACAGCCTGACATACGGGTGTCCGCGGTGCTGCTGCATTAACATCAATGCCTGTTGTAAACATTTTGAGAAAAAATTACCCAAAATTGTCTTTCCTTCTGAAATACAGTCATTTTGGGCACTCGGCTCCTCATATCTTTTTCAAAGGTGATTGTTGTGGGGGACTCCTTTGGGTGACGTGTATAACAAACGACGTGAAAATAATTTAAAATCGTTCGCGCCCTAAAAGTCGCCCTCCCCGTCGATGCTCACGGGGACCTGAGCATTCCTGTAGGCATCCGAGGCGTTCTGGGAAGCCGCCCGTTCGAGCCGCCGCCTTGAGAGGGCCGCTCTCGTGCGCAAGGGCGGCTCGTCCCCCCTGTGAGTGGGGTCCTGCTTGCGACACAAAGACAAAGAGTTCCCCCCGTGTAGACTTAACGGACTGTTGGGAGGCCATACGCACAAAGCACGGGTCGTATCGCAGCAGCAACGTGACGTCATGAGACCACAACAACTCCAATCCTCAGATTCAGTCGCCACCGCGTCCCACGTCCAACCTAGAATCGATTGCAACACTGCCCCCCCCCCCGCCCCAAAAAAAAAAAACTCCCATGTGGAATTTACCAACCTCATCTCGCATTACTAGCCCCCCCTTCCCTTCGTCAATCCAACGACAAAAGGCACGATGACATTACAACCCCACGCAAAATGGCCAATGCGATGATTATCCTGCATCTTGTAAAGTATGACGTATCGTCGCGAGCCTGGCGGGGCACCGTTTGCACCTGCGGACTCGTGTCCTTGTTGGTGGAGTAGGAACCCGTGGCGTTGTCGTGGGACGCTCGACGTAGGCTGGGCGGCACCGAGGAGCTGCGGATGCGCACAATGCGCGTGTTGGTCACCTCGCAGTCCACCTGCATCATCGTCTCGTAGCCGGCCGGGCCAGCGTCCACCAGCGAGTCTGCGGGCAGCACCCACAAAAGCACGCACAAAGACAAAGACCCCCGCCCCCCCACGTAGTCTTAAACAGGCTGTTGGGGCAAGTGCTGTACGCGAGCAGGCTATGAATGCCGGCGCGGCACACGAGGGGCAACTGCACCAAGCGCAGTTGCCTCTGTCTCTCCAGCGGCGATGTTTACACACCGCATCAGGTACCAATTTGAGGCCGAGTCAACCTCGGGGAGGCCCAGGACCAGTTCAGATAGTCGTCACGGGTGTTGGTCCTAAGCGGGAATTAAACTCGGGTCACCGGGTTCGTAGCGCAGCGTGCCAACAGCTGCGCCACCGCTCCCCTCAACACACACATGACAAGCAGACACGGTTATTGCTCGTGTGGCATCACAGAGGGTGAGGGGGTTATGGTGGCGCAGTTTGTCAAATAATTTGGCAGTATTCAAAAGTTGTAAGTGCCCCTAATTTAAAAAAGTGTGCGATGGTAATCATCTCCATCGGCGGCAATTACCCCGTGGATAAAATTCCACAATCATATGGCTGAGGTTAAAATACTCCCAGCGAGGGGACATGGAGCAATGAAATCAGTCAGTGAGCAGGAACTGCACTGATGATTGCATTACAGGATAACGAGAGATGGCGATGGGCTGCAGAGGTCTTCATTGAGCAATGAGATATATCATGGCCGATCATGATGATGGCAGTGGCCAATCTTTGCATCGAATGACCACGACTGATGTCCTACAAAGTGGTACACATTTAATCAAATTTGGATTGACTGAGGTGACACCTGCTTGGGTGTCAAACCATCTCAGCTGGGTGAAAACAGGCTTTTAGATACGCGATTGACAGTGGCGAGGGCAGTGGTTATGATGTGTGTATGTGTGTGCTGCATTCATGAATGTTTGTACCGTTGAGAGCCATTGCCGGCATGACCAAAGACATCTTGGGTCTCCGTGTCTTGTTGTGGCTCATAGCGGGCAGCAGCAGATGATCCTTGGGAGTAAAAGCATCATCCTCCTTATAAATGTACATAAATCAAGCCTTGTCCAGCAGCCTCGCATTATAATCCGCACTCAGGGAGGTAACTCTACCCACCTCCCTCTGCTGTTCTCATAGTCTGGCTTTCCCCTTGTTGTACGTCCACATCATTCACTGGCAAGGTCCGTCTGGGCTAACAGTCTAAAGTGGTACATGCGGCATAAATAAACACACCCACTTAAAGGTGCATGGTGATACACAAAACAACATCCGTGACTTATGATTCAACCAATTATTTGGTGATACTGCACGAGCACAATTAACAAAATAACTCATTCGTCAATAACACTGTGGCCTTAAAAATTAAATATATAGTGAGCTACGCTTAAAGCAATTATGTGACTTCATCATAGCACACAAATGTATGACTCATGAGATCATGAAACACCTGTGGAAGGGACAGACTGATCCTAGCCTTCAAATTTTAATGTAAATCATATGCAAATGAGGCAATTGTACAGTATCTTCATAGACCAGTGTCTAATTCCACTGAACTGATACTCAAATAGTGTACATTAGATAAGCTACTAAAGGGTGCGTTTCATCACTTCAATCAGTTCAAAAACCTAGTAAATATAACCAGCTGAATGAATGGTTACACTTACTAAGCTATGACTGCCATTTATTGACATGCAGACACACAGCAGAAGTGTTTGCCGTATCTGAAAAGTATTTCATTCAATCGCAGACAACGCCTACCCGTCACACTGCGAGAACCAAACACGCCTGGTATGGTATTCATGGAGGGAAATGGAGAGCAGGTTTGATAACCAGTTTGTCTTAACAAAAAAAGAGGCAGCAACATTCCAAAGTAGCCTTTACTGAACAAAGTGAGAGCCCACCCATAGCCAAATCCCTCTACCTAACTATACATTTATTAGCCTTTGCTTCCTTCGGTAAAGTCACGTAAAAAGAAAATAAATTAAATAATAGAGTACGACGTTTCGATTGCAACACAAGCAACCGTCATCAGGTAGAACTACATTTGAGAGAGAGACACACAGACAGACACGGAGACACACAGACAGACACACAAGCAGAGAGAGACAACACAGACACGGAGACACACAGACAGACACACAGTTCTACCTGACGACAGTTGCTTGTGTTGCGATCGAAACGTCGTACTCTATTATTTTATTTATTTTCTATTTCTACGTTACTTTACCGAAAGAACCAAAGAGTAATTCCTGCAGTCACGAAAGCTTCAGATAAAGTTTATATATTTATTTTACAATTCAGCTCGTGAATAAAGAACAAGTTCGTCTTGGAACATGACAATAACATACATTGAACTACACCTGCTAATTTTACGGGGTCTTTCATGTCCGCTTCATGGAACTTATACACTCTCACTGCAATTACTGTGCAAGTTGGCTCAATGGTTATTACAAATGAATGCTGGTCTACCCGGCTACCATAATTTATGCTCTATATTTTTGATGCTATCTCATATCAATAATAACACTTAAGATGAAAGTATATCTCTGATAAAACTTTACTTGCAAGCAAATCCAATTAAGTAAAGGCAAGGCAAAAAGGTACAGCCCTGCAACCGCCTGTTCACACCACTGCTGACAAGAAGGATCGTCACTAGACGGAGCTCTCGAGAAACCCCCTCTAAGCGGGTATTTGGCCTACTTTTCCACACTGATCAGATGTTTTAAAAGAGATACCCACAATTTACCCCACCACACATGGCCTGCTGATGGACTCTGCGTACCCATTTTATACCACCGGTTGGACGGGGGCGATGAGATTTAAGGAACCCGCCTGTCGTTTGAAGTGCCGCGCCCTGGGAGACTGAACGGCAACATTTGTATTCATAAAGTAAAAGAGCAAAGCGATGCTCACCCGGCTAAAGGACACAACGTAGAAGGTGTCATCTTGTCTGTCAATCGCCTCCAGGAAGTCTATGTATCCCTGCGCCGGGCCTCCATACAGCTGAAGCTGATTGGAGGGCATTGCCCTGTTTCCACAGACACACGCACACACAAAACATGACTCCAACGTGCACCAAGAGACCACGTTATATTCCGATGCCATCAATGCCTCCTCCCTGCTACCACTGACGAAGGTGAATACCGACGCAGCGGCGTGTGTGTGTGTGCATGCGTATGTGTACGTCACATATCCGCATTGGCCAACTAAGCACCCACATCCAGTGCAGTTGTTGAGCATGAGGGTGTAACTGTCATTTTATACAGATTATCAGAAATCTGATCTCATCGCAGAGAGTAAAGTGTGACTAATCTTATGTTAAAGCTATGGGTAAATAATTTATTATTCTAAAAAAAACTCGTTACTGATATTTTTATGTGATTATAAGTCGAATGCTTTGCAGTTTGGGGGTTTTTGAGGGTCTGATGCACGAAAAGGTTGGACACGAGATCTAGAGCATTATTCTCATATATTTAAAGTAACACACGAACAGGAACCAAGAACACCGTGAGATCACTTAACACAAGGTCTAACTATGCTAGACAGCCCATCAACAGTCCGGTTTGGCATGCTCTGCACAGAGGGCCAGGAGAGACACAACCTCCCTGGAAGCTTCAATTCCTGGCGCACTGTCTTCTGTGACCAGAACGCAGTTGTTATGACAGCCGTATTGGCAGGAGTGGAATGGGTCTCTGGGTCATCCCGAAAACGAGCAGGCAGTCCGATGGACCTCTCCCCGTCAATCGGGGAATCACTCTTCAGCCTGACGACTCCTGATAACGCCCTCACAGCAGCCACCACCTCTAAAACACCTCCTCTTCAGCCCCTCACTGGCTTACGCTCCACATAGCATGGCTGTAACAGTTGCCTTGTACTTTGTAGAAATATAATCTATATATATACACCCACCTGGTGGCGTCAGGGTGAGGTATGGACAGGATTCGCCCAATGGATGACCGCTTGGTGGTGAATTTCTGAAGGAGACAGAGGCAAGGCTCTCAACACGAAGATCGCCCACGGCACTTGCGCCAAATCAAGCACGTAATTGCAGAGTCGTCAGGCCATAAAACATGAACGACATTTGTTCCTGCGTTCAACGTAGGGTGGTGCTTATGCATACGTTTGGAAAGTATTCCGATTATTTGTCCAATCTAGTTCTATCCAAGATAAGATAAGATACACTCAAGGTCACAGCATGCAGTTTGACAACGATGAGATCTAGTAATACTGTGGGTCATTAATAAAGCTTGTCTACATGTACACAGGAAGGTTTGGTCTGTGTGTGCGTTTGCCTTGAGGGGAAATGGGTTTTGCATGTGGCAATTCTTTTGTGCACAGCACTATAATACCAACTACCTGGGTTCAACTCTCAGCCACAAACAACACCATATGGTATATGAACCTGTCTTAGGCCACCCCTAGATCGACTCAGCCTTGACTGAGTACCCAGTGCAGTGTGGTGACATTAGCACTAGGGAGACAAAGGTAGCCAGGTGTCGTGTTGGGACACCCACTTCCTCGTGTGCTGTGCCAGCCTTCAGAGGTGCTCGCGAACATCACTTGCCCCAACAGTATGTTAAAGGCTACATGGGGGGCCTTTGTCTTTGTATAGGTACCGGTGGGCTGGGCGGCTTGGGCTGCCACCGTTTAGTCACTTTGCGGCGCTCCACCTCGTGACGGTACACCCAGCCTCTCAACTCATCTGCAAGCCTGCACACAGACACACACACGCCAAATCAATCAACAATCACACACACCTCATCAATGAGATTTCAAATATATAAGAACCGCTGAAATACTGGGTTCGAATATGGGCAACCACCTGTGATGAACCTGGGTTCTCAAGAATCCAGTTCAGGTTTACCTTGTTTAACAAAATAAACTTGAAAAATGCATTCATCAAAATCATGCCTGGTCAATCACGATGGCATTAAACACCCATAATGTTAATTATGATATTTAAATTCACACAGCATATTCCAGCTTTGAAGAGCTGGAATAATGTTGGTTTGAAGGTGTGCTTGAGTGGGGATGAGGTCAAGTGAAGAGTTTTTTGCCACGACCTACGAAGACCATTTTCTGACACGTGATGATGTGATGTCACACTGCACCACTGTAAGAGTTCTGAATCGAATTTCTTTGGGGTCTCATGGCGTATCACCAAGAGTAAAACTGGAATTTAAATGTAAAATAAACATGTGTCTTCATCCTCACAGCGTCCTTTGGCCAGCGATCGTACAAAGACGGTCACTGCATCGCGCACTTTCAGACGCGCTTCCGTAGCTGTCTGGAACGCTCTTCCTTCCGATATTAGGAAGCCGTATTCTTGATTCTTTCGGTAAAGTCACGTAGATAAAAAAAATCATTACAAATAAAATTAAAGCAAAAAACCCACGTTTCCATCGCAACACAAGCGGTCTTCATCAGGCAGAGAGAAAAGTCAAAATTAGGAAGCCACTGAAGCTATGTTATTTTAATCGACATTGAAATATAATTTATTTACAACTTATTTTGGTATTTAGTTTGTTGTCCTTCCCCCGCACCTCTGATTAGCACATTTGACTATGTACAGTTCGAAATAAGTTCTACATACATACATACATACCGGAGAGACTCGGTCTTATTGAAGTGTGGGCAGGATGGTGGCCGGAGGCTGGGTAGGGAGCTGTTCACAGTTACCAGCAGCTCTTTTCCATTGGCCAGGGATGTTGTCTTGTTCCTAAATAACAACAAGGCAGGGTGCATACATTCACCTCTTATCAAAGGCAGGTACAATAGGTGGTGATGTGTTGAACTTTCAAAGTACTCGTCGCAACATGAATGCTAATATGTGCGTAAGCTAATAAACATAAGTGCCACCTGGGCAGTGATGGAAATTATACATTTTCAAGGTGACAACAAGCCTATACATTACACACTGTTGACTCTACACAAAGTAGTAATCATTGTATTGACATCAGAGAGGTGACGGACCGAATTTATTTCGATGCAGGATTTTAAATTAACACTTTAGAATTGTCAGTGAGCACTTTAACCAGTGGCAAACGGCCAGATCAATATTTTGATCAATATTGGCCATGTGTGCCTGAATAGAAATGCTGTTTTTAGATGCAGCTATGTTTAGACTCCATGAATCCAAAGTGTATCATATACGCCAAGGAGTTTACGTTGCAAGATATGTAAAATGTCAATATCCGGATTAAATGGTGGATATTCCATGTTTATTACCCACAGCTGCTGAGCACAGGCCCCAAAAAGACAAGCTGCCAGCAACAAACAACACTATAAAAGTTGTAATAGATAAGAGCTAAGACGTTTCTTGAACTGAGCAAGCTAATAAGAGCTTGAGAAAAGAGACGATGGGAGAACATTCTAAAGTCAAGTAGCATGAGGCAAGAAGCAGGGGTAAACAAAAAGATTTCCAAAACCATGAACAAACACAAGATCCAGGTCCGATTTAACACAGTACATTAAATTTGTGATCTGATCTCATCTGTGAAGGACAAGATTCCTGACATGCAATATCCCGGCGTCTACAAACTAAGCTGTATCTGCGGCAGCAGTTACATTGGGGAAACTAAGCAACATGTCACGGACCATGTCCATGAACATAAAGCAGATTTAAAACACTGTAGGACCAATACTTCTGCCGTCGCTGATCATTAATTTATTAAGGCTGGCTCAGACGAAATAGATTTCTCTAAGACGATGGTACTTTGCAAGCCTACTGGCTATCAACAAAGATTCGTTCATGAAGCCATCCATATATAGAGAGACAATTTCAACCAAGAGGAAGGTTATAGACTCAGCAATTATTGCAAAAATGTCATCAACCACTTTGGGTCATGACTTGACTTGTGTTTTCTTGTCAATCAACCTCCAACTTCAGCAGTGTGGTGTGTCGAGCGGGGTGCAGGGATTTCTTGGCGGCCCTTTGCTGCATTGCCATTGCTGCTGCATTTGCATTGCTGCAGCGCCCATGCTCCTGGTGCATGGGCGGTGCTACGCCCATCCCTAAACCTTTATAAAGTTTGCCTTTAGAGGCTAACTCCTTTGCCTGATGACGACCGCTTGTGTTGTGATCGAAACGTCGTGATATTTTTATTCACTTTATTTTTATTATTTTTTCTATCTACGTGACTTTACCGAAAGAACCAAAGAATAAGCAGAGAGAAGTTCATTGATCTGCATGATGTTCAGATGAACACTAAACCAACGTTTTTTACTTTACCAGGTAACCTGGCAACAAATGATAGCTCAACGAAGTGTCTTACCATGTGGAAATGTATTGCAGCCAAATACTCTAAACACATATTTCTAAATGTAGAGTGAGAAAACTGGAGGATTCAGAGAAAAATACATGTGACCATGGGAAGAATATGCAAACTCCAAATATACAGGCGTCAGAGTCGGGATCAAACCCACAAACTCCTGTACACCAGGCAAGGTAGTTAACATTTCGCCACGTGGCACTCTCTGATTAGGATAACCACCACTTGCTTCCCACGGTGTCACTCATTGTGTCTCATTCCGAGGAATAATAATTTGTTTTAAAAAAAATGTCACTTTGGAACCTCCTTTGCCAGTAGCAAAATATGATAATTGTTTTTTTACCCTTCTATCTGGCAACAAAACTGACAACTTTTTTTTCTGCGCCTTTTGGCGTCATCTGGTCCAACACCATGTGAGACTAGGCTCTAAAGAAAGCAGTCTCGGGTGTGGACCAATCAATTTCAAGGACAGTGCATACATTATCAGCGTTATGTTTTTTGTTTGCATTCCGACCGCAGGTATTGTGGTCAATGCAAACATGACTCCTTTTTTTAAAAAAAGGTGTCAGTTTTGTTGCCAGATAAAAGGGTAAATAAAAAACAATTATCAAAATTTCACTTGATCAGCCAACCGTCCTACACATCCAAAGAGAATCCCATCAGCAAAACTGACGATGCACAGTGGAGTGGGCCCATGTCCAATTTATCTAGAATTTGCCCAACCTCAACAGATCTTGGAAGCTAAGCCTGGATAGTGTTTTTGGATGGGCAACAACCAAACAATTGCCATGTTGGTTGTGTGACTTCACGGTGGGCAAGTGAAGAGAATAGTGCAGCAAAATCCATTGTTGTACTGTACTTCTAGGTTTTCGTGTATATGGTCCTCGCCTTCACCAACCGGCAGTGACAAGCGTAGTGATGTTTGGTCAAATTACCACCGCAACCGCAAAGGCTAGGAAAAGGCTCTCAGCCGTAGTAGACTGAGCAAATAGGGGTGAAGGTTAATTGCCAGACAAGTGTGGACAATCGTAGGAATTGGTAAGTAAACAAGATTTTTCCAGATTGGTTTGAGAGGCCAGTAATAGAATGAGCCAAGAAGAGGCCCCTCCTCCAGCAGTGGACCAACAAAAAGCATGTCAGAAACAGAATCAAAATATGTAAGTATACTGGAAGAATCGTATGAGCTATTCTGCTCTTTCTCACAAATGTCCAGGAGGGGTGCATCAAAACGGTACAACAATACAAAAACATAATAGTGCAAAGTATAGGAAAGGTAAACAAATTATTTAAAATATATATATGCGAATGAAACCAAACTATTTTTATCTTACCAGGTAAAGCCCATTGAACCATTCACTTATTGTTCAGAAGTGACCTGGCCATAAGTGATAGCTGAACAAAGTGACTTATCACGTGTATATTTACAGCAGCAAAAGAGTCTAAATAATCAAAATGCATGTTTCCAAATATAAAAAAAAATCCACGCGACCACAGGGAGAACATGCCAACTTCAAACATACAGTAGGCGTCAGGGTCGGGATCGAACCCCAGAGGAGGCCGGCTAGCCAACAGCGTGCATGCGTGCGTGCTTGCTTGAGCGCTGGGTGGCATACGTGTAGACATGGTGCTTGCGGGGGCTGTGCGGGTGGGGCTGGGTGTGGAAGGCAGGCGGCTCGCGAGGCACTGCCAGCAAGTGCCGCCCGTGTCTCAGCGTCAGCTCCGCGGGAGGCTGAACCGCGCCCAGCGGCACCGTGTCGCTCTCCATGAACCTGCACGCGACACGTCCGCACATTAACGAGTCGGCGCTCAGCACCGGCACCACGGACATCGATGATGGCCATTGTGTATTCTTTAGCCAAATAAATGTGCACCAGTATGGACCAGAAGTAGTCACACTCGACATGTTTGATGGCCAACTCAAAACTGCAATGGAGTGTGTCACGGGGTCGACTTGAGGGCTACAAACACCCTGAGCTGCCCGTGCTGTCACACCGTATCTCCCCCACCCACCCATTGCAACGCTGCAAACCTCTCCCAAATGTAATCACGATTGTGCTATCGGCATCATGTAATGAGACAAGGAGTCCATTCCAAAATCTTGCGGAGGAGTACAACCCTTTGTGCGAGATAATAGCCCACAAAAGTGGATATCACAGAACTGCTTTTGGAATCTCTTCCAGTGACATCTGGTCCACACAGATGTAGCACTTTCCCACCTGCCCTGCTACAAGCAGCAATGTTCATCGCATGACAATCAAACTGACATTCAAACCAAATGATGTGCAAAATCAAATTTATTGCGATAGTTTTTTTTTGTGCAGTCATTGATGACGAGGCCGAAACCAATAACTTATTCCACCCGAGATCCCGGTTTAACCACGGTCAGCTGCCTGGAATCAGACCCAGGATCCCAAGTTGTGACAGCCAAGTGCTTTGACATGTGACACCCCTGCATCAGTTATGAACATATTATCACACAGCAAACATATTCATTGGCAGACTCAATCCAGTAGCGGAAAATTGTACAAACGAATGGCGAGGGGTTAACCACTCCATAAGATAATCCCTATCGACTTTGCCCAATGTGTATTTTTTACCAACCCTGCAAGCACTACCTGGTCATATCGTGAGGACTGCTGTGCAATCAAAATCACAAACAGCTCTCCAGATGTGCATGTCCCTCTCTTTGTACAGCATCTCTAAACTTGTTCACATTTAGATGTCATGTAATGTATCACATGATATACATAACTAGACTGAAAACTCATTTCTTCAGAACTGATATTTTTGTGTTTAGTTTGGTGTCCTTCCGCCCCGCACCTCCAATTAGTATGGTTGGCTACGTACGGTGCGAAAGAAGTTCTACATACAGACTTGCCTAATGAAAGCAGGGGAATTATGACACTTAAAAATGATTACAAATGATTGCAATTAAACCACCAAAAAGGCAATGTTAACTTCGAATGTGGGTTTTTGCAGCCAATATATTGATCCAAGATTCATAATTGGTATAATAGATCAACAATGATCCATGTTTGTTTTCAAATTCTGACAAATAAACAAATATGGATGAAATATAATGTACTGTTCTTATAATCTATGTGAAATTTGATAATAAGTGTTGAGCTAGCGCGACCAAAGAGTGCTCTGCAGGAATCAAGTTCCACTGCGGGATCTCGGTGAAGAAACCGTTGACGCGATGCGAGACACACTCAAACGTGGCACATAAAGAGCCGACAAACTACTTGCTGCACTGCCCCCAACAGAAAACGTTGCCGCCCTGCATACAGGTGCCTCGCACACGCGATGAGCCTTTGAGTTGCCGTTGTTGTAAGTGTGCGTCAGCGCCACCACATCCCATTTAGTGCGTCGAGGTGGAGAGGCGATCGTGTGTTTTGCGGTGGCAGCGAGACGTGCGTCGGCATGCTTGCGCGCGTGCTGTGCTGTGCGGGTGCGCGCATGCTCGCGAGCGTCACCTGCCAGGACTCCACGTCAATGCCAGGAAGCAGAAGAGAGCCATGACGCACACAGCGCGTCTGCCCGATACGCCGCCTCCTTTCAACTGGGTGTTCTAAGTAAGAGAAGCGCACACGCAAACACACACACACACACACACGTGACTTCGAATTAACCCGACTGTAACAATAGGCCGTCCCGATGCTGAAGTGCAGCGTAGCGGTTCTGCACTTCACTTGATAGGAAACACGCAGGCAGGTTTCATCACCAACGTGGCGACGTGCTTCACGCACACCCACGTGCGTGATTCACCATCAGCCAGACCGCTCGAATGGAAATCCCTTGCTGTGATGCGCAATGCAGTCATGTCTGGGCAAATCTTGCCTGCTTTATGCATCGATTGCACACACACACACGTGGATCACTGTCAGGCCACGGTTGTGCGTTCAGTGCTCAGTTCTGCACTCCTTCAACGGAGGAAAAGCACAAACTCTCTCCTGAAGCCCTCTCATCGTGGCTAGCAAACAACAACATTGGCATTTAGCTCCTGAAATATATTGCTATAAGCAACGACAGAATTAAATAAAGATGAAGAAAAAAAAACACATTGAAGCAAAATATTCATTTAACAGGGATGTCTTTTTTAATCTGCTCAGAGCAGCAGGATTTCCTCACAACCAGCACCAAGATCCAACATCAATATATCTTATGGAGACGTAAATTTATCAAGATCAACTGAAATACATGCATCGAATTGTGTGTGTGAGAAGCAGTTATCTAAGATTTATTAAAATAATATTTTTTTCTAACATTCAGGATGAAAAAGTTGCACGAAGGAGAAATTGAAAAAAGATGAGGTGGCTAGTATGAACAAAAACTGGAATTAATTAAGAAAAAATTGTGACCCAGAATTGCAATGAATCGAATCTCTGGAAGAATGAATACCTAATACTTGACAATACTGGAAATAATGGTACTAGATCATGATATAAAGATGCCATACCAATCAGGAATATTTTGAGGCGGAGTCGACCTAGGAAAAGCTAAGGCCAGGTTTCAGCTACCCAACACACCAATGGTGGCTGTGCATCTTTGGCCAGGAATCTTTGAGAGATTCGCAACATTAAATTATTAATACTGGAAGAATCCGATGAGCTGTAAAGCTCTTTTTCACAGATGTCCAGAGCGTGTGGAACTGTCACGCCATCGGCACAGTGGTCGTCCTTGCAGGATGGCTGAAGTGGATGTGCAACTCAAGCAGACAGTGAAGGGACAGTGAAGTTGAAGCACTGTACTAACAACCATAACACCCCTCCCCCCCCCTTTCCCAGGCACACAAAGGCAAATTTACCCCATATAGCCTTTCAGACGATAAAGACAAGTGCTACATAACCAGTACCAAAACCTGGCTATCTTTGCGAACCCAGTGCAGACGTTTGTTCACTGCACACTCAATTGAGGCCCAAACCTACGTTGAATATTCCATTTGCATTAGCCAGGAAATTAATCCAGGTAGGCATAATTGCCACGCAGCTCACATGGGTGGTCAGTCGCCTCGTTATCACTCTTCTATCCCTACGGTGATTACCTTTCCCACAGATATCACTCCTTGATTCCTCCACCCATGCTGGGGATGCGATCTCACCAATACTGTTTTGTCTTGTTCATACTGTATTCCACCACCATACTGCAGGTCAAACACTTTATCTTTAAGCTTCCTATCTCGCACTGCGCGATGTTGGACTGACCTCCCATTGTATATACGTTGAACTTTATTTGCACCGTACGTAATCAACCGTGCTAATCGGAGGTGTCTTTTTTTCTCCCCCCAAGTTCTAACAACCTTGCTCAATTCAAGAGCCGCCCGATAAACCTTTACCCTATCACAACATCGAAACGGGCACCTACCTCGGTTATCAGCCCTTCCAGCCTCTGCTTGAGCTCCGCGTTGTCTCTCCGGAGCCGCTCGTTCTCGCCCAGCGCGTCTCGAAGGCGCGCCTCCAGGCCCGTCACGTACTCCTTCTTCTTGCGCCGGGACTGGCAGGCCGACTCGCGGTTCTTGATCATGCGCTGCTGCCTCTTCAGCACCTTCACCTGCTCGCACAACGGCACGGCATTCCCTCGTTATTCGAGAATACGTTCCGGAGATGCTCGCACCTCCGATTAGCACGGCTGGCTATGTACGGTGTGAAAGAAGTTCAACATACATACATATGAATGGTAAATTTTGCCGAAAATGATATTGGCACATGAAAATCTTTTTAATGAATAACCTGGAGTACAGAAATAGCTATTAAAAACATGAACCTAAGACAAAAAATATAAAATTGGTTGTAATAAACAAAGTAAATAACAATAAATATTAAATAGTTTATAAATTAACATAAATAAAATTAAGATGCTGCACTTTCTCACATCACATTCTCTCATCACTTCATATCACTTTCTTTCTCTCTCACTCACTGCAGTCGTGAATATTTCCAGATGCGATTCGTGGATAGGCAAAATTGCGGATAGCCAAGTTTGTGAATAATGAAGGAATGCTGTACAAAAAACTGAGAAAATGTGGAAATTCCACGTCGTGGTGGCCAAGGGCCAGTCTCTCTCACATAGAAATCCACTTGTGTACATAATATATGGTTTGTTTCTGTTTGTAAAGATCCAAAATCTCCATCAATATGGCATTGAAAAGTGCAAGGGCAGAAACTGCCTTTCGGGGTATGGATGCAAGCTACCAGAGATTGCAATATGAGACACTGCAAAGTTATGAAACAAAATATAATACAAACACCCCTTTATCATTACTGACAAAAAACTGTGATTTAAAGCAAAATAGAATTTAGAAAGTATCCTTATCAAAAAAAATGCGACCATGCCCAATATCCTAATTTCCAGATACATTTGTACATTTTAGCCATCATGGGTGGATAATGCCAGATTAAGTGAAAAACCAAACGTTAAGATTTCCCTGTGCAATCATTGGTGCATGGGTTGAGACCACCAAACTAACTTGACTTGGAAGTCTGATTAAATCAGATATATGAAAACTATATTCATACCTAGACCATATTCATCAGTAAATGCACAGTAACTCCGACAAGGCCATCAGTATGAACTCACTGAATCACCTAGCCACTTCCGCTAGCCACACCGTCCAACGGCAACATCTGACAAATCACGTTGAAATCTTTGTGCGGGCCCAACGTACGTCGACATCCCTGCCGTACGGGTCTCTCGACGGCGGTTGTAGGGGCACGATCCTCTTGACGACGGCGGCAGCGGCGGCGGCGGCAGCAGTGGTGGGTGGTGCTGTACTGGCAGGCGGTGACAGGCAGGCGCCCGACGCAGAAGCAGACACGGAGCCCACAAACGTCGGAGAACACAAGCCAGCCACCGATGTACCAGTCACCCCGTTTGCCATCTTGGTTGTCAGGCCATTGGCCATTCCCTTGGCAACAACGCCATTAGCTGTGCCATTGGGTAGTCCGTTTGCCAGGCCACCCGGGGGCAGGTTGCATGGTCCATGTGCGAGCTGCGTGCGGCCGAGTCCAGGCTGCGGCTGCTTGAGAAGGCACTGGGCTGGCAGGCGAGTGAGCCCACCTGTGGATAGGACCACCGGTTGGGCTGTGTGTGTGTATGGATGACAGGGACGGAGGGGTCACAGGGCAGTGTGGGATAAACGAGGACGTGGTTTAGCTAAAATAATTATCTAGTCATCGTGAATGAAATACACTATTCATATTTGCATCAAACATACGAGTAGTACGTATACGCTGTCTGCCGAGCGTCACGTGATCACAACTGATATACGAGTTCTTTAATATACGAGTGCTTTGGATTAAAAAACGTTTCTGGAACGAATTATGCTCGCAATCCAAGGTTTTACCGTACATAGATTTCAAGAAACAAAGCAGTTCTACTTACGTGCCCGTGCTTAATTTGTGTTTTCTGTCATTTACCTTCTAGAAAAATTCCGGCATGTCTCACACCCCCAGAAAGGGCATCTCGCACCCCAGGTTAAGGACCACTGCTCTTTACGTTATCCACTATTCATCTCCAACCAAAGGGTAATAATGTTTAGAGTCAACCCCTGAACAGGATTTAAACTCATTTTTAAACTGTTTCATTTTGAGCTGAGGTATCACATTGTGTGGGGGTGCGTTCTGCTGTGCCACTGCTAAGCGACGGGAGATGAACTGCAACCTTCAGGTCACATCAACCAACCAGCAGGCTTTGCCTGGAAAGCGATGGTTTGCGGCACCAGGGAAGTCACCGGCTGCAGGATAAGGGTTTTGGCGGTGTTGGGTGCTGCAGTGATGCCAGAAGGCAGAGCAAGGTTGGACTGCAGCAACTGGGGTGCCTTCTGCTGGCACTGAGTTGGCACCAACCCTAGAAGGAAGATAAAGTGGGTTTTTTTTTATTATTTATATATATTTTTAGGCAGGAAAGTATCACTAAGTCTAACGGCTCTCTTCCGTGTGTTTAGATTGTTGTCCTTCCCCGACACCTCTGATGAGCACGGCTGGCTATGTAAGGGTGTGAACGAAGTTCAACATACATACGTACTGCCCATGATGATTGCTGTATATAATTTAAATTGAGTCATTTGTGGGTAATTTGGCAAATTTGGACCATGCCGCCAGCCAGCACACAATGACTGACGATATGGGATCTTCAATGTCCAAAATGCACTGAAGCAGACTGCGTGTATTTTACATTTAACACACCCGCAGTGTTCACCAGGCCAGCTGCTGGATTAAAATCGTGAACAACTGCAACAAGTGGCAAGCATCCTTTCACTAGGTCATGTCACAGCCGAAGTGCACATTTGTACACGAAAAAACACAATTCACATGATATGATAAACCATTAATTGGAAAGGAATGTGATACACTCAATCAAGCAAGGGTCCATAAATATTTAACTCTCTTGACCAACAGTAGTTACAAACGCTCCAAGTGGTGCTGTTGTCACGGCAATGAGTAAATTTTAAGCTTGAACACAGACACGCAATGGCCTAACCCTTACCAATTAGCTCATCCACCTTACAGATCAAGAGTACACTGGAAATTTCTCACAAAAGTTAGGAGGCAGCTACAGGTATCACTGTTACCTACATGTCAACTGTCCTAGTGTTCATCACAAAGCAATTAAGCCTACATTTTAAATCCTCAAGAGCTAAAATGTTGAATAAAGGAACAAGCCAAACTTAACATGAGTTTTTGTGGCATCATTGAAATCTGGCTTAATCACAGATAAGTTGAAATCTGGATATGAACCGAGGATGTCAGTGATGTCTCTGGGCCACCTGGCTACCGTGGCCTTCTACCAGTTTCCCCCCTCTTGGCAGTTGCATTTTCCTCTCACGCTCCATGTCCAAACGTGCCAGTGCATTAAGTGACTTGCTCCTCGGCCTAGCTAGCTCGCCCACCTGTGGCCGGTGCAAGAGCCTCATGTTTGGGTTCCCGTTTGGGCCACTCCAGGATGGCCTGGGTGTGGCTGGGTGGGGAGCCTGAAGCCTGCGTCCGTGGCGGGGAGGGAATGTCCCCCACACAGTACGGCGGTGTTGGCGGCCCCTCCAACTTCACTCCGAGGCACGGTGCAGCGCTTGCCTGCGTTGGGCAGGGAGAGTTGAGAGGTGACGCAAGAGGCTCTTGATTTCACAATTTATTAAAAGTTTAATGTCATGGAGTCTCTCCATGAAAAAACAAGTGTTGTGCGGTGTGGGGTGCTTGTCTCCACCGGTGGCCACGAGCCACATTCCTATGATGGGGGTTATCTTACCCATAAGACCATCATTGTTGGGTTTATCTCACAATAATATTATTTTATGGACACGAAGAATGATGGCCCTGGGTTAAGATAACCCAGTAAATCACCGACTACATTTTTCCTTCATCTATATAAAAATCATCTGCATTGTCCCTGCTTCCTCGTACCGCCTGCTTTTGTGAAGACTCCACCACGGTGCTGATGAGGACCTCGGACGAGTTGGATGAAGGTGGAGAGGGAGGCTCCTCCTTTATTAGCACGTCTGCATTAAAACAAACCAAAATCACCTCCATTGGACCACAGTGAAAAAGGAAATGCTCTGTAAAGCACAGGCAAGTGGACTAAACACGAGGAAGAGGCGGTGTCAAATCAACCCTGCCCCTTATAACACAAACAAAAAGCTCACACGAGTTCCACACTTAAACCAATGGGACTTGTGCAAAATCCACCCACAAAAACCCTTGACATCTGTATGCTGCCGCTATCGGTAGACATACTGAATTTTACAAGCAACGCACAGCATCAAGAGGGCCACAATGTGAAGCTAGTGATTCACTCACATCGCTACCCAAGGATGTAGTGGGTCCACACATGCATTAGCCAAAGATAAAATAACACGTGACATAACTTCCTGATGGGATGCATGCAAGGTTAGGGGCAGGGTAAGGAGCCAGATAAGATAACAATTGTCTGATTGGCCACAGAAACGATGCCAGATGAAACCATTTCCTTTATCACTCCATTGTGACCTGAAATAGTAGTTCAGTGTGCTGCACATAGCAATGACAGCTTAAAGCTCGAAGCATAAATTATTCTCATTCTACGTGACTTTACCGAAAGAACCAAAGAAGATGAATTATCCTGTTCTTGAGCCTGTAAAAATCACCATGCGTGAACCAGGATTTATGAACAGAGGATGACTCAACTTTTGCCAATACTTTGCACTATTAGGCTGATGCAATTGAGTGACAGTGGCCTCAATCAAGAGTCTTGCGTCACCTCCCAACACTCCCTGCCCACGTCACTTAAAGAAAGTGTCACTACTGAGAGAGCACGTAAGCATCAACAAAGCTTTAACAAAAGCTTTAAATATTCTTAGTTTTTTCGGTAAAGTCACGTTGAAGGGAAACAACAAAATAATAAAATATATATAAAACAATAAAAAAATTCTCACGACGTTTCGACCATAACTCAAACGGTCGTCTTCAGGTGTGTTGGTTTGGATAAATTTATTTTTAAACGGCGCATTTATTTAAAAATAAATTTATGCAAACCAACACACCTGAAGACGACCGTTTGAGTTATGGTCGAAACGTCGTGAGAATTTTTTATTGTTTTATATATATTTTATTATTTTGTTGTTTCCCTTCAACGTGACTTTACCGAAAAAACTAAGAATATGAATTACTGCAGTCACGAAAGCTTTAAATAAAAAAAAGCTTTAAAGTTTACCAAGCAATGATTACCGTGAGCATGAAACAACAATGTGGCATGTCGGAAGACTTACTCGTGTGCGTTCACACTAAAACTCTTCCACTCTCAAGACTTGCAAACACCTAGCACTTGTACCTTGGAAAATTTCGGTGTAAACGTGTGACCAGGGGTCACTGGAGGACGACGATGACGAGGAGGGGGAGAGAGATTCCAGCTTAAGCTCGATATCGTTGTCCTCGTCCATCTGTGAGAAGCGCAAGTGTGCGTGCTGTGAGATGCTTTCGTTTTGGTTGGTCAAGTAAAGTAAATATCCCGAGAACAGGAATTAGAATGGTGACAAAGCCTTTGCCGTTGCAGCCCCAACGTTTTGAAACAACCTTGTTAACACCCTGAACATCGCAAATCTTCCATCAAAAAATATACTGAAGCAGAAGTTGTGATTTGTAACTTTGATCCTTACCTGAGTATATCTATAGTTCAATGTTAATTTGCCATTTTATTGAGGGACTTACTACTGTGTGCTATTATCTTGGTGTGGTCTGGGACTGTTTTGTTTTTGTTTTGCTGCCTTGCCCAATCTTGAGAAATCTGACTTATATAGTTAAAGCATTCATTATTTATTTATCTTTTGTGGCTTGCTTACCATTTTCTCTAGTTTGCACTCACAACGTTTTTTGTATTGTTCACTGTTGTAAATCGCTGACCCGCCCAAACTGGACACCTGTGAAAAAGAGCTTCAAAAGCTCATCGGAATCCAACTGCAGTCTAAATAAAGATTCTGATTCGGATTCTGTTTTGGCGAATTGGCTGGATGACTCGCAGGGATTATTCCATGTTGGAGCACTAAACCAGCAGGGCAGAGCCCTGGTTTGAATCTGTTAGTCCATCTGCAATTAAGCTGCATTCTCAAGCATTGTGAGCTACTCCTCTCAGCTTATTTCCTTTTAAATGCACATCATATATTGTAATTCATTTGGATTTTCACTTAATGCGGCATATTCCAGCTATACGAATTAAAAAGGAAACGTCTCTTTGTGGGAAACCAACAGTGTTCGTCTAACAAGAGGCTGATTGCTGCCCTTGGAGAGTAAAATGTTGGCCGCTGGACCGGGGTCAGCGATGGAAGTGAACGGATGCAGTCCCCCACACGCTGTGAGCAATGCGACTGTGTCGAGGTTTGTTCCTTCCCACAATGCTCCCCCTCCTTGTCGAACCTCTGCAACCAGAGGGTAATACAATTTTTAAACATATTTTCAAAACCCTTGAACGAATGCTCATACAACATATAACGACACAATGCCCTATCCGCAAATTAGAAGACATCGCAGCGATACACTCCGCTGCTCCTGACGCGGTTATTTGGCTTGACCACCTGAATGTGAAATTGTAGTTGTTGCTCTGCATCTATATCAGCCCTATGAAAGAATAATTAATGCTTGGATGAGGTCATCCCAAACATAAATATATTGTTCTATAATTTTGTACCATGTGAATGTTTTTGAACAAAAACAGGCAATAAAGTTATACTAAACAAGGGTTCCTATCGATCGCACGTCTTACATCCACATTCATCTATATTTATTTATTATTTTATTTCGCCAGGTAAGACACACGGAGCTATATAGCTCTCTTTCAGAAGCGACCTGGCTACAAATGATAGCTCAATGAAGTGGCTCATCATCGTGTGAAAATGTATAGCAGCAAAAAACTAGAGGACCCCGAGAAAAGATCCACAAGCGACCACAGGTAGAACGTGGGATGCAGCCCACGACCTCGTGCATACCAGGCGAGTTAGTTAGCATCTCGCCACCGTGGCGCCCCATGGACCCTGCGATGTCCAGAATAGTTACAAGGGTGGCCCAGGTCAAAAAATGTGCCTCACTTCTGAAAGAGTCACATGGTATGCTTAGTGTTGGGTCGGTCCCCCTAAGAGCTACCTTGAGAACCTGGACCGAGTCCGCTAGCCTCGTTCGTAAATCCCGCTAGCCTCGTTCATAAGTCAGCTCGACTCAATGGTCATGGAAACGCAGGTTCAGTGGTGTTTACTCGGTGCTCCAACAATGCCATAAGCCATACAGCCACATATTTCTTCAATATCATTCGTGGGAACTATGGCTGTTTCAGTAAACAGTGACAATGTATATATTCACAGACATCAATTTCCCATTTTTATTTGTTTCCAATATCAAACCCAGGTGAAGATATTGCCATACAAGGGATCACAGAAGTCTTCCCATTTGATCTAGAGCAGTGTTCTTCAATGCAAGACCTGTGGAGCCACTGGCGGCCTTTAGTGCAGCCCCTGACGTAAAGCCCCAGGCAATGCACAAATGTGAAAATGCCCCATCATCGTACTGTCAAACCCAATGGTTTCAAATGTGTGGCAGCCCTCACACTGATGTCTTATCAGCGAAAGTGCCCCCCCTCTGATAGTTAGTGAATAACACTGATCTAGAGCGAATAAACAACATCCATAGGAATAGGACCGATCCAGACACACATTGCCACACTATGCATTAAGAGAAGTGTCTATATTACTGAAAAGGTTGGAAACGCAGCAGCACACTCACATGGGAATGATCGCGAAGGATGCCAAAGGGGTCTTCGGGATCGTCTGGAATGTCCATGTTTTCCAGGTCATAGAGGCAGCCATCTGTAAGGATGCACACAAGAAGGGGTTACGGTATGTTAAGATGAATTCATTGCTGTTTTTCGGACTGCAGCGCCGTTATCGGGAATGTGGTTTCAATCCGGCTGGGTGGCACTGCAACACAAGGATTGGTCAAAGGTTTCAATCTTGGTCAAGGAGCCACACAGCCCATAAACCCCATCAGGATGGATACAATGGGTACCACATTTTCAGAAGTCAACAGTAATTGTCCTTCGGAAAAAACGTAACACACCAAAGGAATGTGGAATTTCCATCACTGGCGTATGGCCTCTAAGAGAAATGAGCATCATACCTTGACTGTTTGAGCAGACAAATACTTGGAATGATCGATGTTGCCCATCATAAGGACTCATGAGGTTTGTGATGAGCATCATGCTATGACCACTGTGTACCTGTGATTGTGTGATCACTTTTCACAATCAATTAACTTCTGAGTGAAAAACAACAATGTATCCAGCACCTTTCAGGGAATAGGGATTATGGCATGATTAGGTGGTAGATAAACAGAAGGTCGTAGTGTCACTAATGCAATACAGTGCAATGGCCATGTCCAAATTGGCCAAAAAAATACCTGCAAATTACTCAATTCAAATATTCATAGCCATTGTTGCCTTGCACTGTGGAAATGTGGCAGGACCATCTTGATAGAGAGTCATGAGACTCAGGCTTTCCTGGGTAAACAAGTGTTATAATAAATAAAGTGGCTTCTAATAATAATAAAAAAACAGATTTTTTTTCCAGAAACAAGGAGTTGTTGTTGGGAAAGAAAATGTCGCAAAAAACACGTGATCTCTGCACAGGAAACTGTTGCACAATTTGTGACGCAATAGTTGGCTAACAAAACAAAAGTTTTTGAAACCAAAAATGTGGTGGACTTGTCCTGCCCTTTTTTTCCCAATCGTGCAGTTGTTTTGCATGGCTGAGTTGTGATATTTAAGCAACTGTGCCGCTTGCAAAGGTGTGCAGTGTAGCGTTACGTTTCCGTGTGCTCAGGTCTGTAAAGCCTGCATGGGCGTTGCACTCAAAACATCTTGAACCTGGACATTCGTGTGCTATATTTATGCTGCCAGTCAATGGCCTTTGTTGAATCAGATGAGCATCCATTGTGAATCGCAATCCTTTACCACAAGTAAAACCTGATCACCCTGGCAGTGGCGGCTCTGCACACCTGCAATGTAATCGAGCACTGTGGAGGCGACCGTTGGCGAATCGCACAAATGTTGTGAAACTCCTTTCCCGTGGGCGTTGAGATGCCATAACCTGGCTCGCCAGCAGTAGGCAGCACATCGAAGTGGACTGATTGCCATCTGTCCCCATCTGTGCACGGATAGTGTGTGTTGCCACTTCGCACGTGTGGTTTTACTGTAGGTGTTCTAGTTTCCTCCCACAAGCAAACACATTTATTAATTTGCCTGAAAAAAATCTTATAATAAATACCCAATACATGACCCTCCTGAAAAAAGAGTCCTGCAATAAAATGTGGCTTTTATGGATAAATAAGTAAATGATTGACAATGGTTATGTGGGGTAAGATCTTTATTTTCTCTCTCTCAATTATTTTCATAGGCAATTTCAATATTTAACACAGGCAAACAGTAGTCTACTACTCTTTGGTTCTATTCGGTAAAGTCACGTAGGTAAAAAAAAACACACGACATTTCGGCCACAACACAAGTGGCCTTCATCAGGTGAAGGGACCAACCTGTCCAGAGGACAGCGTTCACTCCAACAGGTTGGTCCCTTCACCTGATGAAGGCCACTTGTGTTGTGGCCGAAACGTCGTGATTTTTTTTTTACCTACGTGACTTTACCGAATAGAACCAAAGAGTATGGATCCTTGCAGTCACGAAAGCTTCAAATCTAGTAGTCTACTCTTGGGAATGATGTCCCATGGTCTTTAACATGGATTTCAGCAGACGCTGCTTTGGCAATTCCAAAATAATCTATTCGTGGAAAGTTAAGAGTCAACTCCTGGTGACTACTAACATTTACTACCCTATTGTAGTGTTACACGTACCACCATAATGACCTTGCCCATAGTTAATTTTACTGTTGTAGAAATTAAACAGGTTATATGCCTGTGGTCTAGCTAGGATGTAAATTGTAGGAAGGACCACAGACAATTACCGAGGTGGAAGATAATTAGTGTGAACAGCAATTGCCATGATAATATATAAAATGGCAAACATTTTTTATTTAATTTTTTCACAATGAGTACAGGCTATACTTGGCAATTTGATCGTGCTTGATTTGTAACAAATTATGTAAACTTTACTGGATAACTTGACTACATTGCTGCACCCAAGTCAAAAAGTCTGGGTGATTAAAACGATCGTAGAGTGGTACTAGTCGCCACTGTTTGTCCAGAGCCAGTGGTAGACATTCCACATTCCCACGGTGCTGGCCATGAGAGGCCAAGTTGATCTTCGACCTTGATTTTAAACCTGCGATGTTCCGGCTGCCACAAGCAAGGAACTCCAGCCACAGCACAACCTGGCTGGATTCACTCTCACACCTGCAGCACTCCATCGGATCTCACCAGAAAAATCAGGGCATCTCCTTATGTCGACCATTATGCAAATTACCATTATTCTGCAGACCATAGTGAAAAATACACATTGACGCTGCTAATTCACAGCAAAGTCCCTTGATGAGAATTTAACGTTTTAACAACATCAGCGTTCAGTGTCACTCTGTGTGCAATAGTCTGCCATGTCAGATAAAATTATATTTGCATTGAATGCTAATTCTTAATGAATGGATGGTCTGTTGCACACTGCCAAATTCAGCTACGATGCAGTCTCATATAATCAACACATGGATGCCTTGAGACATTTGATATACACCCTTTAGCAGGCAGGTTCAAATTCCACGTGAAACACTACTTCAATGGTAAAAGGAAAAGCTTAAAATCTAATACATTACCCTTACACAGAGGAGCAGATACGCATCTGTTTTCTAACCCCCCCACACCACCCCCCTCCGCTGAAGCAATTTCGCAAAGTGCTCCTCGTAAATAAAGGTTCATCCTACAATCCACAAAAACTATTCACTTTACGAAGCAACACTGAAACTAACGTGTGTACAGTGTGCCCCTCCGGCATCGTGCCAACGTTCAGGTGGCAAACTGAGCCACGTGGAAAACCGCATAAGCTATGATGGGGGCAGCTTCTAACACGTGATTTGCGGAGCTGAGTAGTTCGCTGCCTAATTCAGATTTATGCCAGATCAACGCACGTGCAAAAACCAAGGAGGTTTTGCCCGTGCGTTATTTCTTCGCTGAGCGGTCATAAGTGAGTAGACGCTTACGTGCCCTGATAAAATGAGCCCGATTTCTCGGTAGTAGTAATCTAATGTGCACCTCCATCTGTCGCTTGTCGGCAAACAACACAGCTGCTCGAGAAAAAACAAGCGTAGTAAACAGACGGTAGAAACCCAATACGTTTGGGTGGGCTGTGAGAGCGATTTTAACATGGACATGGTGTACTTCTGTTTAAAAACCAATAACACGGATACATGTTAAAGTCACAATTCACATGAAATTATTGCTCTCATTGTGTGAAAGTTTAAACACACACTGTGGCTGTCAATAGTACTAACCTTTCAAGACAAAATAGAGAGCAGAGAAATGTTTCTGGGGCAAAAAATTATTCTCCAGATGAAGAAATCACCATATCCAATAGTGATAGCCAACTAAATTTTGCTATGCTATAAGGCAGTGTTAAAGGATACGAGTTTTCACATTTATCTACACACCACCACCATATCAGTCCTTTTAATTTTGCATCATTTTTCATTTTAGTAGACCAATATGCTGGCCAGTGTCCCTCTGCTCATCTCCAACGACTCTGCGAAAATTGTAGAAATTCCAAATTTCCATGACAGAAACCAGTGTATATTATATAACCACGGTTGCAATGCCTTTAAACGGTAATTCCTCTTATCAATCTCAGATGTAAGATGGGCTGATTCGACCCCCCCAAACCACAAGTACAAACCACAATTGCAGGTCATGAGCGCTCTGACCACAGTTTCACGTGCCCGGATATTGGCAGGTTAAAGTATTCGATAAATTCTATGAACGGCATTTCACTTTTTAGAAGCTCATGTTAATGTACTTGCAGGGAGTATTCTTAAACATTGCCTTGAGTCTGGTGGAACGAATCTACGTTGCTTTTCCTGGTGGTTTACAGGAATTGTTGTGCAGCAGTGTTAGTTGATAGTGAAGGTCATGCGACATTTTGTTTATTAACGCACACTGCTGTGGTTTTTATTTTGCTGTGTAACATGCATGCGGTTGATTCATTTTGTTGATTGTGCCGTGTGTTATGAGGTGGTCACTGCTCTGTGTGTCAATAACAACCGTGGAATGCATGCTTGATGTTGCTGTTAGTCCTGCAAGTAATTTTGGGGGCCATCAAGGGCCACTCTTAAAAACAACAAAAGCACTTTGCTCCATTATTTGCAACTCAAATATTGGGGCACCGATGAGGTCTACATTAATGTATTAAACAGGCCAGTTCAGACACTGTGATAAGTTATCGCTTTGCACGAGACTGTAAATGATACTTTGGACTGTGATATTTCCACACATGAGCTCTGCCACAAAGGAGTGTAACAATGTATTGACTCGACTTAATTACATTATGCTCATGATGCAAGCATGACATTAAGTGTGACTTACATATTTAAATATATGTTGTATATTATTTGTTCGTGTCAATAGAGGCACTGCAATTCACGAATTTTGGAACAAAATCAATTCTTAAACTCAACCACAACCCTCAATTCTGACCATTAATCCAACTACAAGGGGGTGCGCATCATTACAGACCAACCATTCCAGATTAATTTGAGCAGAGACATTACCTTTAAAAATATATCTAACCTGCTTCTAAAGAAGACATACCATACACATAATTCTAGTTTAGTCAAAAGTTGTTTTGGATGAATGCGTCCGTGTCGCTAACGTGAATCTAGTAACTACACTTTCACAACAACACCCCCACGCACACAGCGTGCCAAGTGAAAGCCACCATTATGGAATGTGGGCTTCATAAAGAACTTTAGCCACCGCCCTGTACCCCAGATCTATTGCTCAGTCCTCCTATTTGTCTCATGGTTTGAAGCAACATCTGTGGGTATGGGAACCCAATGCACTTTTGAATCTAAATTTAAAACTCATTTCTTTAAAACTGCTTTTTGCGTGTAGTTTGTTGCCCATCCCCCGCACTACAGATTATCACGGTTGGCTACGTATGGTGCGAAAGAAGTTCAACATACATGCATACAATGCCAAATCAATTTCCCAGATCAATTTCAAAATTGCGCTCACCATCTTCAATATCCTCCCTGAACTCGTCCACGTCTACATATTGCATCTCATCCCACTCTACTTCCCCTCCAAACGACCAGTCAACAACCTTCGCTCAATGGGAGGTTGCTCTTCTCCTGTCGCCCGCACATCCTGTAACTCCCTTCTTCCAGCTATCTGTGCTGTTGAGTCTCTATGTCCATGCTCAGGTCCATGCACAATTACCTTGTTTCTCTGCCTGTATCTGTACACCGTCTTGAGATCGGGTAGCGATTACACACGATATAAATTCACACTGTTGTATTGGGGGTTTTATTATGTTTTACCTGGGGTGTCCCAGTCGACTTAAAATGTAATGCGTTGATGGGAAGACGACTTTCATAAGCGGTGAATGAATAGGACACGTGACTCATCGCAACAAGCTCAGCGATCATGTTTTTTGTTCCTCACAGTTGCCCTCATAAGAGCAAGCAACTATTTGGCTTAAAAAAAAACTGTACATTTAATATCAACAAGTCATAAACCTACAAAAATATTCATCATTTATAGTCTTTCCATGTGTCTATTCGTTTGCGTATGAATAACATACACTAGGCATCGCTGCTCAACAGTTTACAATCAAACGCTGAACAAGCCGTGGTCGATGAGGACACGACTTGAACACAACAAGGGCTTACACAACCATACTCTTTGGTTTTATTCGGTAAAGTCCCGACAGTTCTGTTCCTTCACCTGAAGAAGGCCACTTGTGTTGTGGCCGAAACGTCGGGTTTTTATTTAAAACCAAAGAGTATGAATTATTGCAGTCACGAAAGCTTCAAATCTAGACTTAAACAACCAGTTTAAACAAAGCAGTTAAAGGTATTCAACAAGTGTGCCATGTTGCTGGTGTAGCTGAGCTTGTTTTTCCGGATGCGGCTATATTTTTTTTGTTTAAACGAACGTACGCCAGCTCTTTGTCAGGCAGCCTCCGCCCTCTTTGAGACGCGTCTAAAGCCGTGCCTTCAGGGCATCCATGTCGACCACAATTCCTGTGCAGAATTTAAGTTTAATTTCCAAATACAGCGTCCCCTCCCCTCCCCCCACAGTGTGCTGTATGTACAGCAAAGCTCTCATCGATATCTGAAACTCGACAAGTTAACCTGGGAGCCACAGGCACTACATTGGCTAACCATAACCCGGTTACCAAAGCCTATAAACGTGCAGATGTAACACGATTGTGTGGGAAGTCAACAGTGGTCGTCGAAATCGAGAAATTGTCCTCTGACATAGGAGTGAGGATTTACGATCACTGGCTAGGGGTGGTCAACAGAAACACCTCCCCCGTTTCCCCTTGATGTTTTTTTGCAGTGATACTCGTACATCCTTCACAGGTTATGTCCTCAAGCTTTGTGCCGTCAATTGTGTTAAGTTAGTGGCTTCGTCCATTCAAATACAGTACCATGTTATTCACTAAAAAAAAGCAAACTGCTATACACGTAATACCAGTGCTTCATTTATAACCGAATCCACTGAAAGTTGACGGACACACTACACTGTACTATATAAGACTCTCAAATACAATATATATCCTATAGTAAGAGAAAACATTATAGCAGGAATAATCTGCCTCATTAAAAAAATGCACATTAGATTTGCATGAAAATGCAAATGCCAGCCCTGCCAGAAAACCACAAGTAAAAAACACAAGGAAATGCAAATTGACAGCAGAACCAGAATTGGCTGGAGAACCTGCATGTTGGGTGTGCTGCCTGATAGTGAGAGCACTCACCAATGTGATGACTCACAGATGGCCCTCCAATTCCCGTGGGGAACGACTAAAGCATGCTAGGTGCTGTTACGTTGCAAAGTAAATGTTAAAGAGCTTGCATCATTATTCTGAAACACAGATCACTGTGCTGGTGTCAGAGTTCAAACTCCAAAACAGACAAGTGAATTGCGAAAAAATTTTTTTTATTAAAATTGGCATGGTCTGTGGACCCAATTAGACCCTCTTTGGGATGCTCTGTGAATGGATTATATCATTAGGAGTAGGATGATGGTAGGTTTAATAAAAGCAGAGCAAGAACTCTCCATCTCAAAGAGACTTTAATTCAACTTTCAACTATGAACTGACCAACCACAAACAACAACACCCTATCAAGATAGCAACACTCAGTTAATTCATGTGGTTACCAACTTGAGTCCTAAACAACGATTTTGATAGTGACATGGCCTGATAATGGTTTCAGTGAGGCTTGTACGCTGAACCTAGCCAAAGGGTTGGCAATAAATAACGTTGGCTAGGGTCAAAGGCGGGGTTTGGTATAAAGCAGAGAGGTAAGTTAAGCAGAGAAAGTGTCAGAAAGTGTTAAAGGTTGGAGCTTGTTAAAAAGTACCTGAATGGTATAATCATTCATCTCATTCAACTGCACAGCACGTGGTAGTTGTTAAAGAGAACACACAATTAAGGATGTATTGTGGGTTCTAAAAAAGTGAAGTTATAGACAAATAACTCCACACAGTGCTCACTGGTCAAAGTCCATCTATGCACACTAACCAATCATGAAATGAATGTAAAGGAGTTCATCATTCCACCTGCAAGAAAATGGAGGCAATGGATTTAACGTAGAAAGGTGAGGAACCACAATCGCCCAATCCTGTTTAGGCGAACGCATTGTGCAAGAGGCAGGGCAGCTGTCTCATCGCACTTGACAAGCACGCGATTGACATCTGTGTAACACAGTTACGTGAGGAGGGAAAAAGGGGATAATTGCCAGTCATGCATGCAGTCTTCTGCAACAAACGATCAGCAACACTGTAAGGGTAAAGTATAATTTCTATTGCACAAGCTGCCCTGCAGTACATGGACACAAAACACGACACAGGTAAACTTGCTATATTCAACAACCATGTGTAATATGGTTGCAGCCCTAACACTTTCAGTTCAAGCAAACATCCTTACAGATGGTCGAAATTACAGTTCCCCAAAAGGGCATTTATACCTACAAAAACGTAATGCAATATAAGCATGTCAAATAATAATAATATATACCATTGCATTACCTTGGTGTACCTGCTGCATAACTGTGGTCACAATACACCAATTTTATTGAAAACCAAACTACAATGTGGGTTTTGAATAGGGTCGCTTACAAATGAATCCCCGGACAATGCATGGCTATAACCGTCTCAGCAGATCCTGCATGAACAACAATGCACTGCATCATACGGGTGCAGCAGAGGCACGGTGGTTTTCCGACTACACAATTACAAAGCTGATAACCTAAGTTCGACTCTCCGTCAAAGCGAGCATCAGTGGCAAGTCTTGAACCGGTGCTGGGCCTCCCTTCGCCATTCACCAAAGTGCACTGCTGACCAGAATGGTGAAGTATGGTCAAATTATGACCCCCCCCCCCCCCCCCCACTAATGACAGCGTGGGAGAGAGAGGTCTTCAGTCAGCAGTGGCTTGACAAAAGGATGTGATTACGTGATACGCACACAACGAACGCATGGTCACCTATGCAAGAATTACGAGCCTGGTTAGGCCCCATTCATTCAGATGTCGATCTCGCAAAGCCCTCTAAGCAGCACGTGTAATTGAATGGTCTAATGCAGTGCAGCATTCGCAGCAGCATCCTGCACGGTGTCCGACGTTTCAGGAAAGCACCACTATCGTACAATTCAATACAACAATCAATAACAATGCACCCACTGCTAACGTGATTGCATGAGACAGCATTTAAAGTGAGCTGTCAATCCATCGCAGGATGATCTCCCCATGCGGTGTCAGTAATGGGGGGGGGGGGGTTGACCATACTTCACCAGGCTAACCAGTGTGGTTTAGCGACGGTGGATTGCCCGGTACGGGTTCAGATATCTCTCTCGCCACTGATGTGAGCCGTGCACAATCGGAGTGGCCAAACCACCGCGCCACCACCACCACACCCCCCCACACACACAGGGGCAGAAGACTTGCAGAAGGAAGCGCCCTTCATTATCTCCAGTGAACCTCGTCTACGGCTCGCTCTGCGCAACCACCGACAAGCGGCAACGGACCTGCACGCAATGACGAAGTATGGTCAAACAGACCCCCAATACGCGTACGCCATGGAGAATGGATACCGGCGAAAGGGGGGGGGGGGGGGCAATGGATTATTATTATCACGACCACCACCACCGCCGCCACAGTTATCAACAAGTGAAAGCGCACACACAACCGACGAACGCCACTGTCGCCGCACCTACCCCAGTCCTCCTTCATGAGCAGGTTGTCGGCAAAGAAGCGGCTGTCCAGCTCGCTGATGTATTCGGTGGCCATGGCACCCGCAACGCGCTTGCCCCACGCCCGAACCGCGTGCTTGTCTGTGGGTGTTAAAGGGTGGACAGAGAGAGAGCGAGAGTAGAGAGAGAGAGAGACACGCTGCCTGTGTGACGGGCCTGCGGTGTGTGTCTGCGTGTCTCGTCAGACGTCTCCAGCCGCCTGCCACCGCCTCCTCGCTCAACGTGGACGGCGTGCGGGACCCAAGATGGCGGCGGCGGCTCGGGAACCGGATCCCGGAGGAACCGGATCCCGGAGGACCACAACGCCCGGAGGGCGGATCCGGATCCCGCGGTTGCCATGGATACCGGGGCACGGCCCAGTCTAGACCAGGCCCCGTCAACAACAACAATAACAATAACTTTTGATTTAAAGCTTTCGTGACCAGGCCCCGTCAACAACAACAATAACAACAATAACTTTTGATTTAAAGCTTTCGTGACTTGGTTCTTTCGGTAAAGTCACGTAGAAGGGAAACAATAAAACAATAAAAATATAAAACAACAGTAACAACAACAATCATGAAATATTATGGATGATATCTGTCGTGAAAGCCTTAACGTTAAACTGATTAACAGCAATACTGGACGGAAAACAAATAATAATAACAGGTGTTTACCCCTTTCTGGCAATAATAAAAAAACAGGTGTTAAAAAAAGTTGTTCAAACTATATTCATATTTTGATTTAAAGCTTTCGTGACTGCAGGGATTCATATTCTTGGTTCTTACGGTAAAGTCACCACGTAGAAGGGAAAAATAAAATAATAAATAAAAATATAAAACAATAAAATTCTCACGACGTTTCGACTGAAAACCAAAGCAAGAAAATTTTAAAAAAAGTGGCGGTTATTTTTAACGTTAAGTTCTTTCGATAAAGCCACGTCGATAGCAAACAAAAATAAAAGATAAAATAATAAAATTAAAAATGTAAACAATAAAAAAAGATGTTCAAACACAAAATAGATGATTACCTTTTGCAAGGGATCGAGTAGCGAATTTATCACGCACTGTATACTTGTGGTGAACATGCAAACAAACATATCTGATATGGGGCCGTCCATAAATGACGTCACGCACCTAGGGGTTGGGGTGGTCAGACATTTGTGACGATATGTGACGAGAGGGGGGTGTGTGTGAAATATGACGTCACATCAAAATGCGCAACTTTAAATAAATATAGACAACACGTTCCACTTATATTCTTGGTTCTTTCGGTAAAGTCACGTAGTGACGTGGTGACTTTACCGAAATAACCAATAATATGAATCCCTGCAGTCACGAAAGCTTTAAATAAAAACGTTCTACTTAATTAAATATACTTTTTAATAAATGTTTTCTAAGTTTTTTTTGGGGGGGGGAGGCAGAGCTTTGTGACGTCATATTTGAGGGGGGTCTGACTTTTTGTGACGCCGTGTGACGAAGGGGGGGGGGAATGGTCCAAAATCGCGTGACGTCATTTATGGACGGCCCCTTACTCTCCAACACACCGGTGTGCTGAACTGGTAACGAATTGGCACGTTTTGTTTACGTGACAAACCTTACTAATTGACTATGTCAGGTGGTGGTGGGTTTTAACGACACATTTATATTTAGGCGATGTAAGCCAAAAACCTCTAATATCAATATTATTTACTAACAACACTCAATTCTGGATATTGGTCGCGAAAGCATACGTGTTAATAATAATGATGTATAAAATGGATATACAGGGTGGTCCAGATGTCTTGTGAACCCCATATAATTCTCTAAAACGTAATATATTTTTGTAGTAAGGGGTAAATTAATTTGGGGTCACAAGACATCTGGCCCATCCTGTACATAATGCATATACAAAACAGACGAAATAAAACGTAATACATGCGACACCTACACTGTGTGGCCTTAAAAGTAACAAAAAAATAATTACGTTTCGAGCAATGGTCCTTCATCGCACATAGTTGGACACCACTTCTTTACACCATGTGTATTGATGACCAGTTTTGTTGTTAATAGCTATTGAGCACCAGCTAAGACCCTTAAAACATCTAAAAATTATTGAACACAGGAATTGCATGTTTTTTTGATAACCATTTTTTTCATTGGCACTTGAATACAGTAGCTACATAATGTTATTGTGGCATCTCCACTGTCAAAGCACGACAACAAAAATATAACTATTTTAAAGTGATGCAATAAAGGTGCACGTTGTCCTAGTCAAATGCATTACTATGCATTACAATGTATGGCAATGACATTGCAAGTGACGCAAAACAATTTCACTATAGGCAGCTTTGAAATCTATAAGGAATCAATTATTTACACCGGCGTCTCTGCCAGAACTTTCCATTGTTACAATCCGCGATAAGAAATCTAGTCGCGTGTGCAACTGTTGATATCTGTAGTAGCAATTCTTTAGTCACATTGTTGTTGTGTTGCTCTTCAAAACTGTGTATAGTTAAGCTTGTCCAAAAACTGCCCAATCACTGAGTTTTTAAATAATTTTGATGTTGACCCAGCTCACTTGCAAACGAGACTCTCCTGGCCTCCTGGGTTCTAATCTGGTTTAAACAACATTGAAACGTGAACTGAATCCGCCTTGGTGGCATTCCTCCAACTTGTTTTACTAATACAGTATTTATCTTGAGCCCAACCTTTCAGTGTCCTTTGATAACTTATTCAGTAATTGCCTGGAGTTTAATTCCATTGACATTTGGATGTACATTGTGTGTAAACATTACAATGCCACAGTAACTAACTTGGGTGTTTACTTATTCGTGGTTTGTTACTACTTCACAGGTTTTGCCATCTTCGTAAATGATGTTGATCACTGAAAAATGTTAAGGCATTTGTCCCAGTCATTCGTAACCTCTTTCATAGTGTGCAGAGGTCAGGCTTAACGTTCGTTGATATTCATGTGTATTCTCTAGAATCTGACTGAGTGTGTATCTAACAATTAAGAATAGGTTTGACCCTTTCTCGCAATAAAATAGGTGCTAAGATGTTCGAACATCTAATTTGTCCAATATTTTGTTCCGTATGATCGTCGCAAAAATTGTATATCCTGCACTCTTCTATAATATGATTTATAATTATATCGTACAATGTAATTCAAGATAATGTACAAATACAGAACATTGATGTGCAATTAAGAAGGGTCATTCACCGAAATGTCACATATTGGTTGTTTTCCCTTTTAAAGCCACACTGTTATTGAGGAATTGTGTTGAGGTTGTTTTGTTCCTGCTATACCAACGCACCATCACCGTATTATGTGTCTAATACAATAGCATTACATTACAATGAAATGCCCTCTGCAAATACTATATACTATTCAATTACAACGTAATACAACGTGATATATTGTACTAATTTATCATGTAATACAAATACTGTTACAATTGAACTACAATCACTATACTATACACTGTAAAACAAGATTCTACTTCAATAATATTGCAATGCAATGAATTACAATTACCATGGTAATTCAATTACAATGCACAGTTCTTATCAAATGTAGTACAATATAAACCGCTACCCTTCCAATACAATATGCTAACATTATAATGTTACGTAATTCCACTACAATATAATGTTTAAAGTATTACAATACATTTTAATACAACCTCAATGCACCATAATGTAGTACAATTACAAAAGAAAAGATACTATACCAATAAACACTATATACAATTAAATAACCAGTATAATGTGATTGTATACACCATTGTATTCGCACAAATGACGTCACGCACCTAGGGGGGCGGTGGGGTTCAGACATTTGTGACGATGTGTGATGAGGGGGGGGGTTGGGAAATGTGACGTCACATACAAATGCGCAACTTTAAATAAATATAAATAACACGTTCTACTTAATTAAATAGACTTTTTAATAAATGTTTTATCCTACAACATCAGAGTGCAGCGCCACATTAAATACGCACTACAATGACAATAGTTTAAAGCGATTTGAAGCATGTTTTATTTTGGGGGGGGGGGGGGTGGGGGGCAGAGCTTTGTGACGTCATATATGAGGGGGGGTCTGACTTTTTGTGACGCCGTGTGACGACGGGGGGGGGGGGGGGTCAAAAATCGTCTGCAATCGCGTTACGTCATTTATGGACGGCCCCATACAGCATGTTAATTGAATTGACAAGTCTCACACCATTTCGAGTGGTCTGAAGCCATGGCAAATACAAAGGACTTAATTCTAGATTTGAAGCTTTCGTAACTGCAAGGATCCATACTCTTTGGTTCTATTCGGTAAAGTCACGTAGGTAAAAAATAAAACAACAAAAATCACGACGTTTCGGCCACAACACAAGTGGCCTTCATCAGGTGAAGGGACCGTGCTGTCATGAGGAGTGTCTTCACCTGATGAGGAGTGTCCTCATGACAGCACGGTCCCTTCACCTGATGAAGGCCACTTGTGTTGTGGCCGAAACGTCGTGATTTTTGTTATTTTATTTTTTACCTACGCGACTTTACCGAATAGAACAAAGGACTTAGTTTAGCCACCAGAGGGTGCACATGGACACAGCGCAGCCGTCGCAAGAACACAACCAGAGGCGGATGGGTGGCAGAATTCTCTGCGGGGTTAATTATGGCAACAGCAGAGCGAGAAATGAGACAGCACAAAAACTTAAGGCCCTGTGCTGTGGGTTGTTCTGTTTGGGGGAGTTCATAATGGCTGTGTCAAGAGCGGTCCAAACATGACTATGTAACTAAAACTAATCATAAACATCCTTGTGGAGAATAACAGGTCCCTGCAGGGTGGGCTGGTAGGAACATTGGAATTTTGCGCAATTTTATTTTTACACCCCAACAGCACGAGATTTCACTTCGTTAAAGTAAATTTCGATTTAAAGCTTTCGTGACTGCAAGGATTCATCTTCTTTGGTTCTTTCGGTAAAGTCACCACCACGTAGAATGAGAATAAAATAATAAATTTATAAAATAAAATAACACAATAATATTCTCACGACGTTTCGGCCACAACACAAGCGGCCTTCATCAGTTGAAGGGACGAGACTGTCTGATAGGACAGCGCTGGAGTGAAAGTAAAAGTATTGAAAGGGGACGGACGGACGGACACATTAATCTATTGCAGGCTGGTACACTCAGTTTACAACTTCGTTCCTACCAGTATAAAGTCGCCTTCATGTATATATATATTCATCTACAAACATTAAATATATATTTCTTACGCAACCCATAATCCACACAGCGTTCTGGGAGTGCACAATTTCAGCAGCATTGATTCCAATA